GAAGAGCNTTGCTTATATTATAACACGTAAACTACTAACGACAGACCGCAAAGAAGTTAAAAAATACGAGCGAGACCAAACGGGTCAACCCTTTCTTTCGCGTTCACTGTCAGCATTATGTCTACACATCGGGACCAGATCCACTGAAGACCACCTCAGCCGATGGACGATCAAAAAGAAGCTCAGGAACCAGTGCAGTCGAGGACGACAAATAAAACCAAAAACAGAGAAATACATAACAAGAAATACAAATAAATGAAACATGACGGTGCTCCCCCGGTCACAGGTCTCCAACAGAATACATCCCGCACGACCACCTCCCCCGATATGGCTAGGTGGTCAAGAGAGTACGGGGCCTTTCTTTCGAGTCTCGTCACACATGCGCAGGTGCACACTGATTAACCAATGCTCAAACCAATTCGATTGCAAACACGTTGCCACCGGCTCAGCCTCTGGTTTGTCGAGTGTTGTACGATTTACAGTTCGGGCATTTCCGGGCCATAAACATGGTACTGCACTTGTGAGATTTTCCCACAGTCGTTGCAGAGGATCGAAACCTGTCGAAGAGGATTGAAGAGCAATGAATTCTATCGGCACAATACTTATACACTAGGAAAACTATGAGCGAGACGGAGAGAGAAAGTACCAATTTGTTTTGATAGGGTTCAGGCATCGGCGTAGCTGCAATCTCCATATCATATTTCTCCCATACCTTAGACATATCGCAAACTGACTTGGAGCAAAGAGGGCATGCGTATCTGTCATCAAATACGAACGGCCAGGTCAGTTCAATAATTCTATTTACGATGCTCAATCAAGTCAAAAGAAAAAGGAACCAAAAGAAGAAATCCGTTGAATACTCACTGATAATGGTCCCTCATCTCGTTTAAGCAATTCTTATGAATGGTGTGCCCGCATGGCATGACGGTAACATCATCTCTTGTTTCGAATAAGAACTGCAAAACACCAATACATGTTCGGGTAAGGCATCAACGGTACCAAAACAAAATACTTTAAAATCCGTCATAAGAGGATAATGAAAAAACTTTAGTCTTACCTCAAAACAAACAGGGCAGTCGTGATGCATTGCTCCCTCCACACAGGGATGGCTGTTCTTCATCAGCATTGAGTAGCAGCAACCTGACAAAGAAGATGGATTTACATCAGTAACGAGATGATAAAAAAGGATGCTCAATTTCTTTGAAAATAACAAGCACGGGTTACTTACCACACTTGTCACAGTGAAAGAAATTCTCGCGCCCCCCAATTCTGTCACAAAAGAGCACACTCAAGTGAATACTTCAGTAATTAACAATTCGAGAAGGCATAACACTACAAAGAAAATGGTTAATGCAGACAAGAGAAAGTGCATGAGCGAGTGTTGCAAGAACTGATGCTTCAAAAAGCATATTGAATAAAAAGACCTATCACGCTCTGGTGCCAAAAGATAATACCAAAGTGAGACTCGCATACTATGTGGTTAGCTAGACATCTCAGCACATTTTTTCATGGCAGTTCAATCGGCTTTGCAAAAAGACAACAAAAACAAGGACATGAGAATTCTACCTGCAAATCCCACAGCCATTGCAATGGTACTGTTTCTTAGATACCTGCAAAAAGCAAAAAAGGATCATCCGCCTGCAAGAACTAGTCACTTCAAAAGCATCATAATTTCCCATACCAGGCTTACACCAATATCCTAATCATATATCATCGAAAACTAAAACAGATGTACAGAAAGTGAGGCACTTACATCATCATCAAAGAGCTTGCAAGTCTCACAGAAGTATTTCCCCATACATACACCACAATTAATACAAACTTGTTGAACCTGGTAATGAAGCAGCAAACAAAAGACACTTCAGAAAAATGCGAGCAAAATTCTCATCACTAAGGAATTTTCTTATCTGCTACACCAGCTTATTTTCATGATGCAAAATATCTTGATTAAGTACTCGACGCAAATCCAAAAGAAATGGATCTGCCAATAACACGAACTCACCTCTTGCTCAGTGTTGCAAAGTGAACATATCACCTGAAATATCATGCATGTGTTGTCAGCTTATGAAGCAGAACAGTATAAGTTTAAGAAGCCAAAAAGGATAAAGAGATGCATGAACTCATAAACGGATTTACCTGTTTCACTTGATGGCGTGGTATGTCATGTCTATACTTCTGATCAATGCTAATATCATTCTGTATACCAAAATGAGAAGTCAACACAAGTTGATACAAGCCAAAGAACTATCAACAAATACATCACAAAGCCAGCATTGGTTATAACGGCTTATACTCTGAAGTAGTTCACAATCATATACACACCTTAGCTTCGTTATGACAATGGCGACAATCAAAAATCTCATTGCAGCAAGGAGCTCTAATACGGCACCTCCGCCGGTAGTGTGAACATCTGAAAAATAAAACCATCATAATGTTATCTTCGTGGCAACCAAAGAAGAAAAGAAAATAAATGAAGAAATGAGTAAGAATAATTACCCATACTGCATATATCCTTTCTCTAGCAATTCAGTGGCCTCTCCAGTATCCTTCGATTCAAATTTGAGCTTATACTCGCCATTCGATATATTACAGTGAGCATCCCCCATTACGTTCTGCCTAACCATTATATCTTGCATACTTCCAAACGGATATGGCAATACTTAGAAGCTGGAAATAAGCCTAAAGCACCTGCATGTACAAAAACGTTTAATACCACTTGTTAAAGCTCAGAGGCATTTAGTCGCCCAATCAAGGCAGGCAAACACCCCATGACACTGCTTTCTTCTATAATGCTGCAGACATTTGAAATCAGCTACAACAAATCCAAGCAAGGTTGAACAGCTCCAATCAGCATTTCCCCAAGAGGAGGATTCATCAAAACAAGTAGATATATAAACAATAACTGCAATGCAGCGCTTGGGAACTCCAGAGATTCCATCTTTGGAAAGTAAGCAACAACATTGCATCACTTGATTCCTTGAAGAAGTCTCGGAACCAAATCCAACTATACTGGGCACAACGATTTGACGCCCCAACCTATGGTACAAGCAATAGATCACACAATCAAATGCGTTTTAGAAAGTCGTAACAAAATAGGGAAAGAACGGTAGAGATGGGAAAATGTGTTTTGTTGATTGTCCATACAGAACAGGCCTACCTCAATTGGAATTCCGCACCATCTCTGCTTCGAGTACTGAACTTACCCAACAGGCAAAATTTTAAAGCTCTATACCATCAGACTTTGAGTGGCTCTGCTTGAACCTTATACAGTTCTCTCATTATCAACATTTTGAACTATAAAAATAATCACAATTTTATCTCTTGATTCCCCATCTTCTAGTGACACGGCCTCACGAATAAGCCCCCTTAACCAAATGAATGGGAGCAAAACCCTTGTCTCACTGACCTTAATTGCAAATCGATAGGTTTCAAAAACGATTTAAGGGTTGAAAAAATATAAAGGAAAAAAGAATAATGACCTAGCATGAGCACTGAGAATGATAATACCAAGAGTAAATCAATGCTCAGATTAGCATTAGGGGGGAAACAAAGACGACCCAAAAAATCATGTTCCCAAACCAGCAATATCAGATAGGAGCCATACGGCAAACCCACAATGCTGTGACAACAAAGAAGTGACGACAAGACCACACTTGTAATATTAGAAGCCATTTATTGGGATAGAGCTTTGACTCAATCAGAACCACGATAAACAAGCATATACGCTCCGCACTTGCCAATTTCACCTCTGTTAAGGATGCAACAGCCCTGCAGATACTGCCGCAGAAAAACCGTCAAATACTACATATAATTCAGTATTTTAACTCCAGCAACTCATTATACAGAAAGCAGAGGATAAGTCCCTGCAGCATGCTACCCTATCTTCCAGTACAATGAACCAATGAAAAACAAAGAAAGTAATCCTGTTATGTTGTCTAACTTTGGTATATCAGTCTCCTTAAATTTTAATACATATCCACAAGCTTCAAGGTGCAACCTCGATAAGGTCTGAACGTTAAAGGCAAGACGCACATCGCGACACCTGAAACCAAGGTTCAGAGAAAGTCTAAATAACCAACACTGGCCTTGGCTTCTAAACGTACAAAATACACACGACAGCTATGGAATACTCCAGAAACAAGAAGTTGAGCTCCAACATACAGGATGCACCACCCATAAAGAGCGGATGACGCCTAACAGCAGTACTCACAGCGATTCCAATCACAAGTTGAAATCTTTTGCCCCTCAACTACTATAAACCTCCAACCCAAAAAAGACATAAACAACCTCGATAATGTTTTCATTTTTAGAAACCCAATTAAATAACTTATTATTTGGTTAATTTTATCTAGACTTTATTCAGCAGGTAGCTGATATCAGGTAACAATTAATAGACAAGACATTTTGCCCCCCAACCAAATGAAGCCGTCGTCAGTAAAACTAAAGCAGAAAGAAATCCACATAAGTAGAATCACGTACGTAACGCTCACGGTGTCAATACTCGAAATTCGTTCTCTTTTTCTCCTCTTGACACACACGTTTCAACTTTCAACAAATAAACCAAATTTGGAAACTAGAAACAAAAAGCTAGGCGCGGAATCAGTTCCTTCCCAATGTAAACTCAGCAGTCACACACACACACACACACACACACACACACACATGTCATCACTATACAAACATCTCACGCAAGGGCAGGGCTAACAATTTCTACAAACACAACTATCTAGGGCCAGAATCACATTTCTCTAAAACATTAGCTAAACCAAACATAACCATTATCGTCATCGTCATTAGCAACAACCACCAAATTACATGACAGTCCATCAGCTAAAAATTACCACAAAATTAAAAACTACAGCAGGTTTAATCCAATCAACAATTCATCAAATCAAATCCACCACAGAACACGCAATGCCCATAAATTCACACAATTCATTGCAAATACGATCAAAAGATTCAGAATTCATGCAATAACACGCCAAATAAAGCTAAAAATTAAACACAATCTGCAGAATTAAAAAATTTCAGAACCAAATTACCTACAATTATAATCAATTAACGCAAAACCAAAGCCAATTCAATTCAAAACAAATTACGAATTATATGAACTTCTTAAAGAATAACGAACTTTCAATCCGCCGCGACACAAAAGCGATGCAGTCGCCAATCCAAATCCGATAGCAAACTCCAATGAGAATCCGATTGGTTATCCGGAGCCCCGACTGAAACTGACAGAGAGAGAGAGAGGGAGCTAGAGATAGAAACGCAGAGAAGAAGATAGAGAGAGAAAGCGATGCGGAACGATGAGAGAGAATTCGAACGCGATTGCTATTTATACCGAAGATACGATCGCTTCGCGAGCCTTCGAAATTGCCTCGAAATCGAAAGCGTCAGGATCACTGGTGACAGCTCTCTGTAGTAAATTGTCTGAAAATATCCCCCCGCTTTTACTCATTCAATAATCTGGTTTTAATCCTCTGCAGTCTCGCTCCCTGTATCCTTCTGCAAATGCGAATCGAACAGTCCTCATGTCTTAACTATCTATCCGACGGTGAAAAACAGAGAAACCACAGTAATTAGAATGCAGCCGCCTGCACTTTAACATTGTCCTTTAAAAGTCCGTGATCTTCTTGTAGACGAAGTTCGCCGTTCAACGCAACGATCCAATCGGCCAAGTCAGCGTGATGGCGCTCCAGCTTGCAATTTGGATTGGGTTGTCGACACGTGTTAATAAATTTGGCCAAGCTTAATTGCTTGCCACGTCTGCAGACGAGATAAAGTGATTTGACGTGGATGATTTTGATGGTATTAAATAAATAAATATCTAATTAATTAATTAAGCATGATTGTATTGTTATTGTAATGCGGATACGTTATGTTTTTGGAATTGACTTCTTAATTTCTCTCAAATTTCATGGTTATCCATTGAACGATTACGTATAAGTATTATTTTCCATTAATTAATATGACGATGTTTATCCATCAACATTAGAGCCATATGATTGTCAAGTTCCCTTGGAGGCTTGGAACCACTTTATATTCTAATATATATTTGTTTTTGTTGTTTCAATGACTCTTTAAGTTTGTCCGACTCAACGTTCTATCCATAATAATGATCGTACATTTATTTTTAGAGATATGATATTCACACACCTCTTTTACTTCTCTCACATTTTTTTAGTTTTTAACCGTTGGATCTGATGAATTGAAGAAGATCAACGGACATAAATTAACAAAGAGTGTGTGAGAAGTAAAAATGGATATGTGGATAGCACACCCTTTTTTTTTATTATCTCAACAATGATTCGATTAATTTTTTTCGTATTTATTGAAATTAGTTAACTTGTATGACTCGGTTACCAAAATACGGTCCTAGCTTATGTATGTCTAACGTTCTATCCATAACAATTATCTTATACTCATTTTTTCTTTGTCTGACTCTCAACAATATGCTCTTTGCTCGTAGATTACAAACCGGAGAAAGATGTGATAATCCTTTACTATTCCAAGAATGCCAAAAAATTATAAGATTTGTACAAAAAGCCTCTCACATCTTATAATGTGTAGTATGCCAATTAGAATCATTGAGATAGAAGGTTATACATGGGTCCTGGTATCTTTTTAAAAATTGAACTAGGCAAGCACCGACGATCAGTCTAATTGTTTTCCTAAATTGTGCTTCTATGATAAAAAGCACTTTTTTTAAATTTTCAAAAGCAGTCTGATTGGACAGTTGTATTGATCTTTGCAGTTTGCATGCATGAATCCTCTAATTCCTAATGTGATGCACTCTCGTCGTTTCATATTTTTAGCACAATGTTTTATAATCCTAGTACGGAAATTATGCCAAAAATATGAGGTGGTGGATAGTCAATGAAAAGTCCTACTTTTGAGAGTCTCCTTAACATTTCTCTTCCTAATGTTGAAGTTTATGTGAATGATTGTCAGCCAAATGTATATAGGTTTAATATGCATAACCAAACTAATAACGTGGTTACGACTCAAATGCATCTATGATTCTATAGTTCCACATAGATTGTCAACCATTAATGTATATGTAAATCTTCCGGATGTAATCAAGCATTAATGTCTATGAGACTTATTGCATCTACGGTTGAAAGTTGCATACAGATGTGATGCATGTGTAAAGTGTTAATGCATTAGGTCTAATACGCGTAATCAACTATTAACACGTTCATCATGAAACTCGTCTGCATCAACGGTTAAAAGGGTATTTGCGATCATAGAAGGCCGTCATAAGCTCAGCTCAAACTCATAATTATATTTCCTCACTATTAATACTCAGCTCAGCTCCCTAAATTGGTGTCAGAAACTTGATCAAGTCCAAGATGAGAGAGTAATCGGAAACCGTCCCAAAAAAAAGGGTGTTTATGTTTTGACTGATTCAGTTTTACACAGATGTAATAAACACATGCACTCATCACTTCCAGTAAATCTCATTTCTTTACCTCTAACTGCTACTACTTCCGACACACTTAAAGTACAGTGGAAAATTGAAGATTTACCTCAAACTGAGCTTTTTTTTTTTACTTTTACCGTCGAGGTTTTGATCAGTTTTCCATCTCCAATATCCTCTCTTTTTCTCTGATACATGCTGAGAAAGCTAGAACAGAGAAATTGAACCCATTAGATGTGATCTCTTGTATGTGATGAAGAGAAGAAACATTCACATTTTTCTACTCTCCATTTTCCTTGTACAGATCTTTTTCCTAGGTGCCACCACTGGCGAAGTGCTTCCGATTTCGCGCAATGCCGGCCTGAGAGACTCGTCGCACACTTTGCATTACAAGCAAAGGCAGCTCTTGTATTACACTGACCACCATGGATCACGAGGTGTGACTGTGACAGCCGCAGGCTCCCTTGTTTTTGAAAATCCTAGACTCAGAAGTGCCTACACTGCCCTCCAAGCATGGAAGCGAGCCATGGTCTCGGATCCTTGGGATCAAACATCCAACTGGGTTGGATCCGATGTATGCAAATACACTGGAGTCTTCTGCGCCCAAGCTCCAGACGATCCATCAGTCCAAACTGTTGCTGGCATTGATCTAAACCATGCTGACATTGCAGGGTTTCTCCCGGAAGAGCTTGGTCTTCTCTTGGATATTGCATTGTTTCACATCAACTCAAATCGTTTCTGCGGCAAAGTCCCAAAGAGTTTCAACAAGTTGAAGCTGCTTTTCGAGCTTGATCTAAGCAACAACCGCTTTGCTGGGGAATTCCCTGATGTTGTTCTTCAGCTGCCAGCACTAAAATTTCTGGACCTGCGATTCAATGAGTTTGAAGGTAAAGTCCCCAAGGAACTGTTTGATAAGGACCTTGATGCAATCTTCATCAACCACAACAGATTTTCCTTCCAATTGCCAGATAATTTTGGGAAATCGCCGGTCTCCGTCATTGTCCTTGCTAACAATAACTTCCACGGATGTGTACCTGCCAGCCTCGGCAACATGTCCAAGAATTTAAATGAATTGGTGCTCGCTCACAATGGGTTCCACTCGTGTTTGCCAAAGGAGATAGGGATGCTGAAGAATGTGAGACTGTTCGATGTGAGCCATAATCGGGTTGTGGGAGAGTTGCCGAAGGAAATAGTTGAAATGGAAAGCTTGGAGCATCTGAATGTGGCTCATAACATGCTCAGAGGGACTATACCAGAAGGGGTGTGTGAACTTCAGAATCTGAAGAAATTTAGCTTTGAGCACAACTTTTTCACTAGCGAGCCACTGATGTGTTTGAAGTTGGAGGAGTTTGATGACAGCAAGAATTGCTTGCGGAAAAGGCCAAAGCAGAGAACCTTTTTGCAATGCAAATTGGCTTTGTCTAAAAAAGTTGATTGTAGTTCTTTTGGATGTCATCCTTTCGTTCCTCCTTTGCCACCATCACCACCATTGCCTCCACCATCACCATCACCGCCTACACCATCACTACCACCACATCTGCCATCACCACCAATGCCTCCGCCATCTCTATCACCTCCGCCTCCACCGTCACCACCACTGCCTCCACCATCTCCATCGCCACCACCGCCTCCACCGTCACCACCTCCATCACCGCCACTGCATCCGCCATCTCCATTGCCTCCCCCACCATCTCCATCCCAGTCACCAAAATTACCATTACCACCTCCACCATCACCACCATCACCACCACCGCATCCGCCATATTCATCGCCACCTCCGTTATCTCCATCCCCTTCACCATCATTACCATCACCTCCACCTCCACCTCCACCTCCACCATCACCATCACCGCATCTGCCATCTCCATCGCCTCCTCCACCGTCTCCATCCCCTTCGCCGCCATTACCATCACCTCCGCCCCCATTACCATCACCGCCTCCACCATCATCACCACTGCATCCACCATCATCACCACTGCCTCCGCCATCTCCATCACCACCTCCACCATCTCCATCACCACCACCACGACTGCCTCCTCCTCCTCTTCCTCCACCTCCACCATCCTCACCTCCTTGCCTTCCCTCTCCACCACCCCCTCCACCATGCTCTCTTCAGAATTCACCACCACCTTCACTACCTTCTCCCCTACCACCACCACATTCTCTTCTGTCACCACCTCCACCACTTCCTTCAACTCCATCCCCACCACCATGTGTGCCATCTTCTCCGCCTCCGCCTTCACCTTCAGCACCAACTCCAGCATATGATGGCCCGTTACCACCAATTAAAGAAACCCCCCACCCTTCACCTACACCACAACCGTATTATTAGTGATTCCTTCCATTTTCTTCTCCACCTTCCAGACAGCTTAGCGACTGATACACTATAGTGAGTACACTCCCACAACTCCGAAAAGCATTTCAACTTCTGAAATAATTGCCAACTGTTTATCTCTACCACTGCAACCAAAGAACACAAAAGAATGCCATCAATTATCAAATTACATGGTGAAGGTGAACACGAGAAGTGGGAGACATGCACAGGGAAGGTTATTCATTTTGCTTCTTATTTGACATTTTCACATTGTTATGGACTGGTTTTTTTTTTTTTTTTTTTTTTTTAAGTATATAATAAGTTGGAAGATGTAGTTCTAGGCTACTTGGAATGTAATTACAGAGATCTCTAGATTCATATTTCTGTTATATTAAGAGCTTTCTTTTGCTTATATTCCGATCTAAATGTATTATGCAATGATGGATATTGGATTGAAAATGCTTACAAATATTTAGAAAAAGTTAGGTCTCAAAATTACCTTCTGCATTGCTCTGCTTCGCTATTCATGAATCGGAATAAACAACCGTAGAATCTTTGTTCCATCTTCGCTGCAGGCAGAAGAAAGTCACCAATCTTCATTTTCATTTGAGAAAGGAAAAAACAACAGATGATCTAAATAATAATTGAAAAATAAAACTCCAGTGAAAAAGGCTCAGTACTTGAGCAGCTAAATTAAAAATAAAAAAATAAAAAAAATAAAAAAACTGTTTTCCTTGTCCTTAATCTTAAAAAGCAGATGACAAATGAACAAAACTGATAGCCGAAATGAGAAGCGTGAATACCAAAGAATTTCAAAGCTCACTGAGGCAAAGCCTCAACTGTACATCGAGTCTTGACCCGAGCCATACCGAAGAGCATAACTTCAAAGCCCCATGCATGCGAGCATCTCCATTTTGATGGCCTAATCAATCGAAACGAGGAAAAAGTACATTTTCAACACGGTTAAAGGAACAATGAACTCCTACACATAAACATATGCACGACTAATAATAAAGCACAGAGGCAACACACAGTGTATATTCAAGATATCCATCAACCCTTGGCTTGCTGATACTCCCCTCATGTATCTTCCTTCTTGACTCGACACGGAAGCTAGCAGGGCATTCAGCACTTGAACATTCTCCTTTTACAAAATCACCCACTCTAGCAAATGGGATCAGGGCGATATCATCACCACCTTGGCGACCGCCTTCTACTTTCACCCATTTGATATGAGCTGCGGAAAACTCTGCATGCCGAGTATCTTGTACCGGGAGGTTAAGAATGTCCTCCATTCTTGCCAACTGTGTAATAAAATGGAAACCCAAATCATAGTTCTACTAATTTATGCAGCACAAATTCAACCTAAGGTTTTTTAATATAATTGGTCTTTGTTAGTTTCCAAATTCCAAAATTCCCAATCTCATGTGGTACCTCTTAACTCAATCTAACATGCAAAACACAAAGGTAAGAAATTTCAAAGCTATTTAAAATTACTAACTGAAAGTGCTTATAAATTAAGTCAAAATCATCATAAGCACTTCAAAGACAGCAAAAGTAAAAGCATTTTAACAAAATTTACCTTGTGTTCATGGCCCTTCATGCTTCTCCAACTAGCCCAGAAATTGTAAATTCTGGAACTTTTACTCAGCAAGTAATAATTTCAAAGTTTAAAGTTTATACAAAACCAAAAGAAAGCAAATTGGGCAGCTCTAGAAAGAGGAAAACCAAAGAGCAGCTGGAAAAATGCAAAAAGTTACAGCTTACATAAGTAAAGAATCCAGGAGAGCGTAAAAGTAATTGAATCTAAAGTAAAAGTAGTAAATTTGAAGAGGGTAATTTCCCTTTAGGGTCTGCATTTCGAATGGGAAGCCATAGAAGGGAGTGATTCAAGGTCTTCCGAGTCTTCCAGCGGAGTGGAAGCTTTTGCTTTCTGGGATCAAGTAATCATCAATAACAACAACATAATATTTAAATCCATTCATTGAATATGTTGGAGAAGTCCATACATCCGAGTGAATAAGTTCCAATAGAATAGAAGAAACATACAGTGACAAATTGAAAGGTAACTTATGGCTTTTGCCCATGGGACATGAATGGAAAAATTCATTAGTTACATTAACACTAATTGGTAATTTATTTCTATTAATTAAAAACTTTAAAACATGAGACGATGGGTGACCTAGCCTAGAGTGCCCAATGGTATTAGTCGCTCTTGTTTCAACAAAAGCATGAACGCCAATATTATTTGATGAGGTACTCGAAAAAGGGTAGAATTCATTCCTACTCCGCCCTTGGAAAAGGATCTTCCCCGTCTGTAGGTCCTGAACAAAATATGAATTAGGGTAAAGAGTGTGTCAACAATTATTATCATTGGTGAATTGATGGATGGAAATGACATTGGAAGAGGCATTAGGGCAAAGTGGAAGGAAGAATTTATGGTGTGGTATGTGAATGCAAGAATTACCAATATATGTAATGTCCAAACCTGTTCCACCCACGATGCCGTTAACCTGATCAACACCATTGTATGGACGAGGATTAGTGACTTAAGCAGGATCATTAGTGATGTGTGCATTGGCACCTGAATCAAATAACCAATTTTGCACTGGAGGGAAGAAGATGGTGCAGTAGTCGCAAAAGCTTGGAGTTTAGGAGCTGGTACACGACCCTCATAAGCCATATTCAAGCGATTGTAGCAATCAATCGCGGAATGTCCAGGTCGAGAGCAGATTGACAGTGTATGCGTCCAGAGGGATTACCTTGAGAATTGAGATGGATGTGTACAGAGAACGCCATAATTGACAGCATGAAAGTGAGCTCCAGGATGATGGTTGGGATTTACAGGTCTATACTGATTGCGCATAGGGGGCTAAGGACCACGACCTCCACGATAAGGACCTCCATGACCACGACCACGACCACCGCGTGTTGCAGCAAGGGTTGTCCAGTGTCAGCTTCGTTCAGCACCCAAGAGAAGGGCTTTGAGAGCACTATAGCTGATTGCTTCATCACGTGCCTGAGCAGAGGCAACGGTACTGTCGTAAGCTGGGCCAACCCTGTTAAGGATAATAGCAACTAAATCCGAATCGGATACAGTAGAATCACCTCTGTGAGTATTCATTAACTCACTACGGAGTTGAAGGAGACGTCTCGTGGATTGGGAGGCATATCGGTCGTGGAAAGTAGTCCAGGAATAGTGGGAACTAGTCTTCCCAATCAAGGATACGAGCACTGTGGGATGATCAGAAGAGTTGATCCATGACATCACCATTGCATCCTGCTGTACCCATGTATCAAACTCAGGGTTGATAGTATCTATGAGATTGCCATCTGCATCCTATAAAAATGCAGGTGGGCACTTGCTTGTTCCATCGACAAGGGAAACAAGATTCCTACTTCTAAGCAGGGGAAACATCTGGGCTTGTCGGAGGGGATAGTTCGTACGATCTAATTTGATCGTCAGAAAATTAGAGGTATTGGGAAGGACGGGAAAGGGAGATTGGGAGGCCATTTGAGTGAGAGAGGGAATGAGGGGAAAAAATTAGGGTTGCCGTTTGATCTAAGTTTAACAAAAAGTTCACTGTTTATTTTAACGAAAAATCATATTTTTACACTAAAAAATTGAATATGGTACTATTTATTTTACCTTTTATTTTTTCTTATCATTAAAACTCAAAGTTTTCAAGTCTTTTTCATTAGTTTTCCTTTGATTTAGCTCTTGGATACCATGAAGAAAGTTGAGGTTCTACCATAAAATCAATTGGCAATATGGGGAGTAGTTCAACCTTTTATAAGCTCATGCAAGGTCTCTCCTCCTATCAATGTGGGACTGATTCTCAACACGCTCCCTCACATGTGGCGAATTTTCGAGCCTAACACGTGAACAATATAATGAGATGATGTGGAGCACATGTGGCCGTTTGACTTTACACGTAGAACAACTTGCTCTGATACCATGAAAAAATCCAAAGTAGGGGTTTGCGAATCAGATTGCATAAGCTCACCTCTATGAATATGAGTAAGCCTTTGACTTCGTTTATATAGAGTTTCAATACACAAGGTTGCTACAGATTTGTTATCTATACAAATATTCAAAATACAAAACATATATCAGATTACAATAGATAAAGATACGCCATGATTTATGAGGGTATGATAAGCTTTGACTAAAATTCAAAGGGCTGGAACAGTTTGGAATGACGGGAGCTTGAATTTCAAATGGAGAGAAGACGAATTGCTGAGTTGGCAGAATCCTTAACTTTGATTGCTGACTAGATTTATCTAGTTTCATGGACGAAAAGTAATGATACAATTTATAATCTATGTGTGTGAATATGACTATTTCATGGACGAAAATATTTGAAATCTTATATATCCTCAAGGATATTGGCGAAAAGAATATAGTCACAAAATATTCACGGATATCTTCTCCTTGACTTCTCTTCTCCCCATTAATCCTTCCCATGGAGAGAAGAATGAAGTTTAAAAGCTGATGAAGCTGTGTACATTCATACGAACCTTATGCCATGTTTGTCAAAATCCCCTTCACCCTTAATACTCAGTACAATCTCAAAAGCAAAAACAAAACAAGAAATTTCAAGTTTCTTTTCCAAACAACCCAACACAACACAATACTCGGCTTTTCCTGCATAATATGGCTGACTGATATCGGTGACAATGAACTGATGGTCATCAACGGTCCACCTCCAAGAAAATGAACAATACTTACAAAAGTTGATGAAGCTGTGTACATTCACATGAAGCTGATGAATCTTGAAATGTTTGTCAAAATACATTTCACACTCAATACTCATTACAATCCCAAAAGTAGATTCAAGTTTCTTTTCCAAACAACACAAGTTACACAACCAAGCTGCTATTCATAAGTCTATTGTTCATAGCCAACAACTGGCTAGCTAACTAATAGTCTAATATAATGGCTAGCTAATATAAGTGAATCTACTGTATTGACTTCACTGTAGCTCTCACTCCTCCTTTACTTTTCCCATCCTTTCCAGCTTGTAAGTTGTTTGGTACTTCTCCTTTTCCCCATTCCAGATGGACACTCTGTAGATTGGGTGCTTTAAGTTGCAACTACATCACATGAGAAATACCCACAAATAGAGCTCAGTCAGTAAACATGTTGTTATCTAATTCCACCTCACCCACCATTATATACCAAATAGGCAAAATATGATCACATCTAAGAAGGAACACAAAAATTGCAGAGAACTAGCTGCATAAAAGAATTACCTCAACTATTGTGAGTGAAGTATA